TTTTGAGACAGGGTCTCACTATGTAGTTGAAACTGACCTGGAACTCACAATGTAGCCCGGGCTGGTTTCAAACTCGCAGTAATCCTCCTGCCTCAACCTTCCAAGTGCTGGGATTATAGGCGTGCACCACCACGCCCAGCTTCCTGACTTCTTTTTTAATTTAATTTCAGACAAGGTCCTGCTAAATTGCCCAAATTGAACTCAAACTCACAATCCCCCTGCCTCAACCTCCCAGCGTGCTGGGGTTACAGGCGTGCATCACCACATCCAGCCAGGAGTTGACTTCCTTCGCATCTCCTTATTTATGGCAGCTTTTTTCTTCCCACTGAGAGGAGAGGGAATGTAAGTCTGCCTTCCTGTCTGGGTGGGTAGACGACTAGTCAGTAGCATGAAGCGAAAGTGCTTCTCAGAAGCTATCTCACATGCTGACCCTTGGGAGTCCTGAGACACTAAGAAATCTTTCTAACCCAAGACCGCCATGCTGTGAGAAGAATAGAACATAGAGAGAAACCACAGTGCAGGCACTGCTACCCCTGACCTTCCGACCCCTAGCCCAGGGAATTATCCAGGCACCCTCAGATTCTGAGTCTTCCCAACTGAGACCCCAGCCACCACTGCCAGAAACAAGTCCCCGGTGTGCCTGTGGGATTCTGTGCTCCATACCCTACAGGCTAGTAAAACAGTGATTGTTTTAAACCTCTAAACTCTGGGTTAGTTGCTATGTAGCACATAGGAATAACTACAATAATATATAAGACAGTTGATCCCATTTGACCCCCAATCTCCCCATCCTCCCAAGAAACCTTTGCCTTTTGAGCTACTTGCAGGTGGGAGAACAGTCACCAGTAGATACGGCATCCTTTAAAGAAAAAGCTGGGTTTTGGTATCTCCGTACCAAGCTCTACCAGCTGGTCACCCCCTTCCCATCCGCCCCGCAAAGGCCTCTGGGATGCTTCACTTACTTCACTCAGGTCAGCCTGCAGTGAGCCAGCCCGGAGGAAAGAAAAACGTACTGTGTCCAGTGGCCTGTCAACCTCTCGCCACAGCGAGGGAACTAGATGTTCTTGTTTCCCCAGGGCAGTCCTGGTTTGTGCCTTCACTGCTCAATGTGGGCAACAGTGTATGTGCCCTCCTACCTCTCAGTCCTGTTTCTCTATCACTCCATCCCCGGCCGCCTTTAATGGGTCTTTTCAGAAAGAATGGTGAGTCAGGCTGGGGATTTAGCTCAGGGGTTCAGCCGCCTGCCTCACCAGCACAAGGCCGGGTACCAAAAAAGAACGGTGAGCAAGCACACAGTCCGCACAGTCCTCTGCTCCAGGGCAAGTGCAGCGCATTTTCGTCCTGGTCTGTATCCTAATCTAAACCTAGTCTCTGCATTATAAGGTGCAGAAAGTGAAGGTGAAGGGAGTGAACAAAGGATGGCGGTGTCCTTTCCAGGCCTCTAATGTGTGGAAATTCGTTAATCTTGGCCTCAGTCTAGGGTAGCAAACCCTTTCCTTCAAAAATCTACCCAAGTTCCAGAGATTGCTCTCATTCTACGCCTCATCTTTCATTTTCTCGAGCTCCCCATTATGTAACAGAGCTGGCCCGAAATGGCCCATTCAAGATGATCTCTATAGCGATGGCGCTCCGTGGTGGTATCTACCGATGCAAGCGTTTAAGCGAATCTCCACCCGCTTTTTGTCTTCTGTTTTGTTTTGCGGGTCCTCCTTACCGGCGCTGCTCCGGAGCCCGCCACCCTCCTGGGCGAACTAGGGCGGGCGCGGGCGGGCGCTCGGGCGTGCACG